ATGGATAAGGGGCCAGAATTAAAAGGAACACAGATATCTCAGTGGGTTGGAGATCATGGAGAGATTGGGAGAGGTGAGTCACGAAGGTATTTGTAAACGAGGATGAAAAATTTTAAAACAAAGATGCTACTTGACCAAATGCCAATGTAGGACAGGGAGCACGGGGACGATAGACATTCAAAAACTGTCCGTCTCCAGTCCATTCAAATCTGGCCCCTCAACTTATTTTTTGCCAAGACCCAAACGCTGCAGAATGGATTAAAATGCCAGCAAGGACTCCGCTTCCTCCAACTCATTCAGCAAGAAGCCATTTCTGTATGAGCCACTCCTTCTTTGTGGCAGTACAAGATGTTGCAGAGGAGAGGTGAATAACCACAACCTGTATTTTGATGGCATCCTTGATGTAGCCAAACACGTCCTAAAGGTGATTCACGGGAGCAATACCACATAATATTTGTCACTTAAAGAAATGAAAGAGCAGGTGAACTAGAGTTTGGTCAAAGAGGTAGGTTTTACAGAGTGTCTTACCTAAGTGTCCTTACCTCCTCCCTATCTTCTGCATAAAAACCAACTTTTTCTTCGCTACCATCATTTCTGAAGAAGGGTCACTGGACCCGAAACGTTAACTTGGCTTTTTCTCCACAGAAGCTGCCAGGCCTGATGAGATTTTCTGGCAGTTTCTGCTTTGGTTTCTGATTTCCAACATCTGCGGTTCTTTCAGGTTTTCTTCTCTGAAATATTTACACACTGGCAGATGGGGTGAAAGGCTGACTTGTCCATTTTGAACACTGACAGATGCTCTGTATGCCTCATTCAGCCTTGAGAGTCAGCAGGCAGAGGGAATAGCTATAGCCCTGTTGGCAACGCGTTGAACCCAAGGCACACAGTCAGTCACAAAGTAACATCCATATGTTAACAGTACAGCATGTTGCTCAATATCCTTTAGCTTGTTTTTCAAGGTTATTTGAGCGACATGGTGTCCACATAACAATGTGCTTTTTATGGCTATAGTCCGGTCTTTCTGCATCTCAGCTCCCCTCTCCCTGAATGTGCAAACTGTTTTTGTCCATTTAAGGTCCTTTTCATTGCACATCTGTCCACTGTTGCAAACCCCCGACAATGATACCTTTAACCTGAGATGGCAAATCATCATCATCATCATAGAATCCCTACAGTGTGGAAACAGGCCCTTCAGCCCAACAAGTCCACACTAACCCTCAAAGCATCCCACCCAGACCCATCCCTTATAACCCACCTAATCTACACATTCCTGAACACTACGGCCAATTTAGCATGGCCAATCCACCTAGCCTGCATATCTTTGGACTGTGGGAGGAAACCGGGGCACTCGGAGGAAACCCACGGGGAGAACGTGCAAACTCCACACAGACAGTCACCCGAGGGTGGAATTGAACCCAGGTCCCTGGCACTGTGGGGCAGCAGTGCTAACCACTGAGCCACTGTGCCGCCCTATTTTAGATACTTCTCCCCCACTTTTTCTTTCATGGGTGCGTGCGTCATTAGCAAGGCCAGTTTTCCATCTCTAATTACCCTTGAAATGACTGGCTTACTAAGGCCATTGCAGAGGGCAGTTAAGAGTCAACCATGCTACTGTGGGTCTGGAGTCACATGTAGGCCACACCAGGCAACGACGGCAGATTTCCTTCCCTGAAGGACATGCGTAAACAGACGAGTGAAGTTGGATGCACAGGAGATATCCTTGGCTCTCAAACACTTGCGGGACTGAAGGAGGTTACAGACATAAGGAGGTGCAAGGCCACAGAGGGTTAATTTGAAAATTGACTTGCCACACATACCAGCACCTTGCAGTTACAGCTCACGAATCTGCCAGATCCAATGCCCAGATCAAAGTAAACCCCCACTAGCAACCAAGACTGGCATAGCTAAGAATGGCTTACAGTAGCAGACTCCAAGTCTCCTCACAAGGGCTCCCGTAGTTGCCAAAGCACACTGCTGCTCCCCGTGTCTTCTGTCTAGTAAACATATTGATGCTGGTAGCTTTGCACCAGTTTGGTGGCATATGGCCTGGCACAGAGGTGGTGGCAACTCACTACCTGTAAGAATAGCAGAGACAGAAACCCTCATAACATTGAAAAAGCATTTAGACCTGCACTTGCAATGCCAAGTCATACAAGGTACTGCCTCTCCTCATTCATCCCACAGCAAAAAAAATGTATCATCTCACACTTGTTTGCACTGAATTCCAGCAGCCCAACTATTTCGATATCTTGCCTGCGTCCTTGTAAAGCCTGATCTCACGTTTCCCTCGCTGGGCCCTATCATTTCTGGTTCTGGAAATATGCCCTTTAATTGCGTGTAACTGCTTCAAACAAAGAACAGATAAACAAACAAACTTTGTGCTCCAACATGACTGTTGTGACTGTCTCACAGCACTTGTCAGCCAATGATGCATCTCTTGAAGTGTAGTTGCTACTGCAATGTAGCCTGCATGATGGAAGATTTTCTGATAAACAACAATGCCACAGTGGCCACATGACCTGGCTTCATAATGCTGATTGAGGGATTAATATTAGCAAGGATCATAGATTCCTTACAGTGGAGAAGCAGGCCATTCAGCCCATCAAGTTTATGCCCACCCTCCCACACTTATCCCTGCATTTCCTATGCTAAGCCACCTAACCTGCTCATCCCTAGACACTATGGGCAATTTAACATTGCCAATCCACCTAAATCTTTGGACTGTGGAAGGAAACTCAAGCAGACACAGGGAGAACATGCAAACTCCATCCAGACAGTCACCCAAGGCTGGAATCGAACCTGAGTCCCTGACACTGTGCGACAGCAGCGCTAACCACTGAGCTTCCATGTCGCCAATGAGACCAGGGAGAACTCCAGTTCATCTTCAAAACAGTGCAATTGGAAATCTAATGCAGTCCCCTGCGAGGGCAGGCCTGACTGAAATTTCATGCCTCATCTGAGAAACAGTATCATTAGCAAGGCCATAGGGTTGGTCAGCTCAGGTGGCTGGGCAGTTGATTGGCCACACAGAGTGATGCCAACAGTGTGGGTTCAATTCTTGTATTGGCTGAAGTTACCATGAAGGACCCAACTTCTCAACTAAAAGGTGGTGACCATCAAGTTAAACCATCACCAGGCATCTCTGTCTCTCATGGAATTGGACTATGGTGACTTTAACTTTTTACTCTGTCAGTTCTGCAGTGATCAACCACAAGAACAATTTGCTTTCACAATGTACCTTCAGTCTCAGAAAATGACCCAATGTGTTTTACAGCGATATCGCAAAATCATTGAGCCAGGCATGTTCACATCGAACAAAAACAGGAACTGCCAATTCCTAAAGGGGTTACCGGACCCAAAGGCTTAACTCTGCTATCTCAGCTGAGATCTTCCAGCAGTATCTGTCTTTGTTTCTCATTTCCAGCAAAGGCAGTTCTTACAGTTTCTTACATTCCCATCGAAGATTATGAAGTTGGTGATGATCAATGCTGGAATTTGACAGGGTTTAACCTGACCTAAGGAACCAATCATCAGAATCAGGCTCTGCCCATCTTTCATTGTATACATGGCTTCCCCAAAGGAAGTAAAGTCAGAGAAGGTTCAGGGTTGAAAGGCCATTGGAACCAATAGCCTTAGCTGGCACTTCAGGACAGTAACATTAAATCTGAACCATGTCTGCCCATTCACAAGAATGATCGACGAGCCTGTGGTATTATTTAAAAGGAAGGCAGGGGAGTCCGCTGAGAATCCTGGTCATCTTGATAAGGACAATAACTCTCATTCACAGTGTACTTTTAACAGGAAAAACGACCAGGCAACAATTTGACACTGAGCCACAAAGTGGAGATGGTGTGGCACATACAAACCAGTGAATCTGTTGGCTGAAATCCATTTGGATTCACAAGCTCTTGGTACAGGTCTTCGCTGCTGAATTTACCCGCTTAACATAAAGAACTGAGAGAAGGAGATGGCAGTTTAACTGGTGCAGCATGCTCCACTATTTAATACAATCATGGCTGATCCAATCTCCACAACTCCTTAATCCATTACTAATTAAAAACCTGTCTCTCTCCTCCTCAAGTTTACTCAATGTCACAGCATCCACCACACTCTTAAGTAGTGAATATCACTGTCTCAGGACCTTTTAAGAGAAGTAATTCCCCTTGTCTCTGTTTCAAATTTGCCACCTCTTATCTTAAAATTATGATCTCTCATTCCAGCTTGCCCTACACAGCGAAACATCTTTTCTACCTCCACAGGACCTCAAACTGCAATTAGATCTCCTCTCATTATTCTACACTCCACAGGACCTCAAACTGCAATTAGATCTCCTCTCATTATTCTACACTCCACAGGACCTCAAACTGCAATTAGATCTCCTCTCATTATTCTACACTCCAGTGAGTATAGGCCTAAACTGCTCAGTCTCTCCTCATAAGACAAGCTTTTGATCTCTGGAATTAATTCAGTAAATCTTCTCTGAACTGTCTCCTGTGCATATGCATCCTTTCCTAAGTAAGAGGACCAAAACTGTACGTAAAATCTGGAGTTCTAACTGATTCAATGACAAAGAAGATTTCTTTTCTTAGGAAAAGTTTGTGAAAAACAAATTAGTCAAGAAACTTTAAAGTGCCTTTGCAAAATTGCCCCTGCTGCAATAACCGGTGTATTTTCCGTCCAGGTGGTACACAGTTTATTATTCACAAGTCCATTAAGTGATTTTTTTTGGTGCATTTACATTGCTACAACTCAGGAGGCAGCATGGGAGGCAAACTCGCCAGGATTGGTGCCATGGTGATTTCTCATCTCACTTAGGTCAGGAAAGATGAATCTCCGATTCACCTACAGAGTGCTTCCAGCATCTTCAGCTTTTGTTGTTACAGGTTGCCAAGCATCTGCAGGTTTTACTTGCTTCTTTTTACTCATGTCGTCACAACTGAAGAATTAATATCATGAAGGGGAGCAGATTTCCTCAAGCCACAGCCCCTCGGACTTCGAGAATGACGTCTGAAATAATTATCACCCATGTAAAACCTGGGTTACTTGGACAGATTGAGAGCTGGCATTTATGTAGCACCTTTCATGGCTACAAACCATTCCAACGTGCGTAACAGATACTGAAGTGTTTGTTATTGTTGCGTTGCATTTGAAGAGTTTGCGTAACAGATAATGAAGTGTTTGTTACTGTTGTGTTGCATTTGAAGAGTCTTTCAGCTTTTAACAAGTAGAGGATAACAACAGTAAATTTTACACTTTAGCAGTAGACTTAAGTTATTTTCCTTCAATGTGTTACATTTGTGTAAATTGGCTTCTGATCAGCCAACTCTCACAGTCCATCAGCTTCAGGTGCATTAGAATGGAGAGCTTTTGTAAGTTGAGAGAATTTTTAATGGATGTATTGCCACTTTGCAGAATGTGTTTATTTGGTAGCATCACAGACAGTCTTCTGTCCTGGGGTTAAAGATATGTCAGGAGGATTACATGACGACCCTCAGCCTGCTACAACTTGTTGTTGACAGCCCCTTCCATGGCCAACAAGCCCTGGAATGGGATTTGAAGTTGTAGCTTCTGGCTCAAAGGTAGATGTCCTACTTCATAGATCATAGAATCCCCACAGTGTGGAAACAGGCCCTTCGGCCCAACAAGTCCACACCAACCCTTGGACCATCCCACCCAGACCCATCCCCCTCTAACCCACACATCTCTGAACACTACAGGCAATTTAGCATGGCCAATCCACCTAGCCTGCACATCCTTGGACAGTGGGAGGAAACTGGAGAACCCGGAGGAAACCCAAGCAGACACGGGGAGAATGTGCAAACTCCGCACAGACAGACAGTCGTCCCAGGCTGGAATCGAACCTGGGTCACTGGCGCTGTGAGGCTGCAGTGCTAACCACTGACCCACTGTGCTGCCCTACTTACTGAGCCATGTGACCTCCAGAGAATGGTCACAGCACAGAAGGAAGATATTCAGCTCATTGGTGGTACTGCAAGTATAGGGAGTTGGGTCTGGGTGGGATGCTCCGAGGGTCGGTGTGGGTTTGTTGGGCTGAAGGGCCTGTTTCCGCACTGTAGGGATTCTATGAATCTAATTCACCCAGTCTCATTCACCTACCAATCCCTGCAGCCTTGATCACTTCTTTTCTTCAGGTAATTATCTGAATCCCTTTTGCAATGCCATATTGATTCTGCCTCCACCAGTCTCAGCTAGTGCCTTCCAGCTCCTCTCATTCACCACATTAAGAAAGCTGTTGCTTTCTTTGTCCATGACCTCAAATGGGCCTGTCTACTTTTCTAAGCTCCTGCCAACTGGAATGCTTTCTTCCTCTTTACTCTGAGTGTTTCCATCAACTCTCCTCTTCTCCAAACAGCACAGCCCCCACTTCTCTAATTTATTCATGCGGCTAACGCTCTTCTTCCCTAGAACGTAGGTCTTTTCTGTGCCTTCTCGAACGCCTTCATGTCCTTCCTAAAACACGGACCCAAAATCCAGCACAGCTGAGGTGGACCTACCAGTTTTAAACATAGGATATAGTCAAACTGAATGAGCAGGCCCAAAGCGCTGCTCACAGATAGAGAGGAAAGATTTGACTCACATATTCCTGGTAGAATGCGGGCAGGTAGGGAGCGACAGAGGGTGACTTACCCATCCTGGAGTCACCGGGATTTACAAACAGGCCGCAAGTAACCCTCACCCAACTAGACAGTGCCCAGCTTTATTTGTATATGTCAGGTCCTAAAATCACCCAACACCCGAGGCAGACTTTCCACGTCAGGCTCCTCAATTTTCGACTTGGAGTACTCACCTGGGCTTCACAAAGGAAGCTTCGTTCTCTATTTCCAAGTATTTCCCCCCGAAAACCCTATCCCCATTTGCCTCCAAGAGAAGATGTTGGGGACCCCGCACTATCCTACTTTCATTCGGGAACGGGCAGGAAACGGACTGTCCGCAGAGCAACAGAGCCCAGGCTGAAAACTCATTTCCTCAATAGTGGATGAGTTGGCAGCTCACCTTGCCAACCATCTGTTAAAAACGATGAAACGAAGTAAAGGGACGGTCACCATTTCAGGTTGTAGTCATTTTAAGCCAATAGTCAGGGAAAAATAACACTCAATGGCTGGAAGCCAGCTCAGTCACTAATGGGAAAGGTTTTCAGCGGAAAGCCAGTAGAGGCCTTCTCAACAATTTGAAAAGGAATCGCTGACATACTGCTAAGCAGCACTAACCTGAGGACTATAAGCTGAGAGAGCTCTGTTAAGTAAACTTCAATTTGGTAAAATGTTACACTTCTTGAGCAATGCTCCAACCAAGCCAGGTCTTGTGAAGTAGTGAGAGTGCACTCTGACCTACATGTTTGTGAGCAGCTTTAACGTTCTATGGTCAGCAGGCTGAAATGTGAGGCAGCTGTTGTTGCGGACGTGCTCAGTGCCTGGGCTCACGTTGGTTCTTGTTCGGTGAGAATCAGAACAGAGTTTTACAAGCCCACACATAGAAAGGTGTCAGTTCAGTTCATTATCACTAGCCATTCGTGGGCAATGCATTGTCAACGCAGGGAAACCGTCCCTTGAACACAAGTCTCAAATTCTCAAGTCAAATACCTACCAGTGTGAAAATCTACCTTATTTTCTACAAGAGACAGTGACACCGTTATCATTTAGGTTGTCAAATGGAAAGGGTCCACAGGAAGGCCTCTGGTGAACCTTGTATTGTTCATTTGTTTGAATGCAAGGGAAGGTAGGAAGCTGGAGTTGAAGGAGCGGCCCTTCACCTCACTTGAAGCAGGAAGCGAGTGGTTCTTAATAGGAAAGGCAGGAGAATGATCAGATAAAATGACCAGGAATCCCCAATCCCCAATAAACCAAACCTACTCTAGGGGGTTCCTCCCCAACCCAGGCCAGAGTCAACATCCTCCCTGTCTGTCCTCATTCTCTGTCTCAAGGCACTGCAGCCTTCATACTGACCTGTCCTTCCTCTTTTTGTTCCCTGCGCCTGGGTCAAGCTCACCCTCTGCTTCCACTGCTCCGATCTCATCAACATGCACACGGTATAGAGTAACGGTTCCAAAAGGGGTAATGTTGGAGACTGTTTTTAGCTCCACCCAATGTGATGTGATCAAGGGGACTTTGGTGGGGAAAGACCGAACAGCTTAGGGCCTTGAGGAGAACAGACATGTCACCCAGGCCCCCTCACACTCTGAGTTACGACATAACATACCTGATTGCCACCATATAATACGCAACATTCTCTTATCTTTAAGACACAGAACATAGGATCAGGAGTAGGCCATTCAGCCCCTTGAGTCAGTTCCACCATTCATTGAGATCATGGCTGAACTGTGGCCTAACTCTAAAGACCTGCCTCTGGCCCATATCCCTTGATACATTTACTTAACAAAAACTTTTCAATCTCAGATTTGAAGTTAACTACTGATCCAGCATCCACTGCTGTCTGTGGATGAGAGTTCCAAACATCTAACACCCTTTGTGTGTAGGAGTGCTTCCTTACATCTCTCCTGAACAGTCCGGCCCTAACGTTTAGACTATGGCCCCCAGTTCTAGAATTGTCAGCAAGAGAAAATAGCTTCTCTTCATCTACCTTGTCTTTTGCTGCTGATATCTTGAAGGCTTCGATCAGATCACCCCTTAACCTTTTAAATTCTAGAGAAGACTCTCCCCGGGTTTTCTTCTGCCAACTGTAAACCTAGGAGGCCTGTCAGGCCAGTCACAGAAAAGGCATGGTGCCAGCAAATTACCCCAGCCACAAGCTGGCATAGGTTGGCGTGGCAATGTCTCATCTCTGATCTCTGATCACTTCACCCATTTCAATTCCATCAAAGCATATGCTGTGAATCCTTGTAACCAGTTGCACTTCCAAAATGAATGCAATTCTAGCCTTGGAATTATAGAAAAAAAAGCTAATGCATTGATTATTTCCGGCAAAACATGACAGGGGCTTGAGTGGAAATAACTGAATTATCCAGATTAATAAAATCCACCAGCTTCTAGCAAGTCACTGAACACAGAGGCCACACTACTGAGAATGACTTAACAGATGCTAGCACCTACAACCAAAACTGCTTTATAGCTGGTGACATACAGTCACTCATACTGTAAGACACAGCAAGATCCCACATACAAGTAATGTGACAATGCTTACATAATCTGCTCTTGGACCACTTAGCTCTTCTCTGAATTGGTATCTGGAGCATTTTGCATGCACTTGAGAGGACACCAGAGCCTTGGCTTAACATCACATCTGAAAGACAGCAGCTACAGATAGTATTGCACTCCCAGAGCACTGCAGTTTCGGCCTTCATTTTTGTGCCCAGGTCTTGGAGTGAGACTGGAACCCACAATCTTGTAAAACTACACCTTGTTATGATCCCAGCTGATGTTATTACCAGATTGTGCTTTGATTTGTTTTGGCTTTAACAAAGTGGCGCCTTGCGGGGATGCAACCATATTAATGCCAGATCTGCAGCATTACAATAAAAGTTTATTAACAAAAGAGAATAAGATAAAATAGAATAAACCAAACAATGCACTCACAATAAAAATTCAAAGAACTTTAAACAAACAGTAAAAGTATAATCCCACTAATATCAAAACACTTCTTCATAACTTGAAAACTTTTTCATGGTACTTCTACATACACTCCTGGCACAGTACACAAAACACCCCTTGTAGGATCACACCAGAGACCCTGTATCTAATACCTTGGTAGGTTTAAGTCATTTGAGACTTCAACTTTTAAACTGGAACTGCAGCTAGCTTTTTCATGGAGCTATTATACATCTGAGCTTCAACGTACTTAGCTTTAAGTCACCTCTTCAGGGTTTTATCCCAACACTTCTAGTCTAGGACTAACACCAACTTGTTACTCCATGGCAATCTAGTTCACCACTTCTTTCCCTTCTCAGGAGCACTGGTCTACACAGCCATCTTATCCCATGGACTTCATAAGACTGCCAAAAACTCAAAGTAAAACTGAAAAGAAAAAAATCTCCTTCTCCAAAGGATGAGTGTTTCCCTTAAGCTTAAATTAGACCGAAGTTCCAGAACATCAACATCTATTATTTACCTTACTGGACCACACGACAA